GAGAGAGTAAGAAATAGAGGTCGGGTGAGGCTGAAGCCGGGGCAGGACGGAGAGAGGACAGTTGGCGGCGGGGAAGGGGGCGGTACCTGACAGGGCCAGGGGCAAGAAATGACGCCAACAGGGGGGTGGAGAGGAGAGGAGAGGAGAGGAAGCGGAGGAAGGAAAAAGAAAAGGGAATTTCTGGGAAACAGGTCGAGGGGATGGGAAACAGCAGCCAGCAGAGCCGGATGGAGATCAGACTGACCAGCAGCAGCAACGCAGCAGGCGTCAGGACTGGAGACTGGAGACTGAATGGATTGGATGGCGTCGGCCGGCTTCCGTTAAGCGTGGAGTCACCGCCTGGCAGTAAGTTTGGTGCAGCAAAAGGCTGAAACAAGGCGGATCTCGATTCCCAGGCTGACAGAGTCGCAGAAGTGGTTTTACTATATACTGGGGAAAGGGAGAGAGACAGAAGTTTGGAGGCATAAGTATCTCCCCTCTTCTCTCTCCTTTCCATCTCCGCAACTGACTTAACGCATCCCGTGATCGCTTGGTGCCTGGAGATCACGGACGGGCATCATCGTGATCATCCCGGCTGCAGGCGGTCAGAATCCGACCATAGTAGTGATGGCAGCGGTCAGTTTAGCTTTACTATCTACTGCGACTGGACGGAGATTTAGGATTAGTGTTGGATGTGACTGGAAGTCATCCGTGAGGCCATCCGAACTCTTCTGTTGCCTGAGGCAGCAAAGAGAAAAGATTTACACGTGATAGTCATTAGTCATGAATTGAACCAACCAGCGAGTGCGGAGACATCGACCAATCAGACGACTGCCGGTTCCCCACGCGATGCTCCAAAACAGCGAAACCAAAACAAACACAAACACTCGATATCTGGTGATCCTGCAGAGATATCGACATATCTGATCTCCATTGTTGCAATCAGCGGATACCACAAGGAATCCATGGTCGTCTACCCAGTAGATAACTCTAAGCCCATCCGGCCAGGGTTCTAATTAAGGTTGTGAGATCCCAGCCGGGTTCGCGGCGGATGCTTGTGCTCTATAGACTTCCGCTGGAATGTGGACGTGCCACTGCATTCATCACAACATTGTATAGCAGGATGCACCGGGGCTCATTGGTAGTGCAGTTAGAATTCCAATCGCTCTCCAGAATGTAGTGGACAGCTGAAGCCGATCCCATCGGTATTTCCATTTGACAAGGGATCAAATCAGAGACAATCAATCGGTGGTGCTCAGCAACTGAAACCCAGCCATTGATCATCGTTTGTCCCGATTTATCGTCAACTATTCCATCTCCTTCCACTGCCACATCAGCTACGTTACACACACAGCAGATATCCCACCGCTCAACGGGTGAGCGATATTGTATATACATAGTACATCTATCTCATTACGCTGGTCGCCAGGGATCCGTTAGCGTTGCTGCGAGGATCACACAAACGGAGTCGATCCTGATTAGGCGCTCCTCTTGCCGCCAGCCGATCTCTCATCCCACGTCGCCTTTCTTCTTCGTCTTCTTTCTCCTCCCTCGCTATCATTGTGTCACCTACTATTATTGTTCCACCAGGTATGCGCTCTCACTGACGATTCCTGGGCTATCTGACCACCTATCTCGATCTAGATGCGCTGATTCCAGCGCCTGCCGTTGTTTGATCATGTCGCCTCGATCGCAAGTGCGCCTCCACTAGTCATCAACAAACGATATATATTATATAAACATCAAGCCTAATCATCCTTAACGACCGCCTACCATGGACGACGGTCCTCCTCCACCCCCTCCCCCTCACGGCGAGAAACCACAAACCACCCAGGGCGAATATCGCAAGACTTCCGACCTCCCTCCGGGGAATTACGACATCTTTATCATCCCCCCTCACTCCGCCGGCTCCGGATTCCTTTACCTTCCTTCCCTCCAGCCACAACGTAACAGCTTCATCGCAGGATCCGCCTGCACACTCTTTGCTGTCCTGCTTTGGTCCCTCATATCACCCCTTCTGAAAGCATGGTGCGCTGCCACTGTCGCCAGTGGCAATGGCCTGGCCATCGCCGTGCTGGCTATCGGAGTTGGGGTCGCTGGGTGGGCCGTGGGCGCCTCACAATCCGATTCTGGGGGAGGCCGACGACGGCCCAATTTTGGATTTAATACCGGCGGGGGTCCAGGCGCGGGTGGACCCTCCGGCAATGGTGCCGGAGGTGAGTATGCACGGGGACAGCAGCATGGGGCCCAAAATCAGGGCCCGAATGGCCATCCTGGTGGACAAGGGCAAGGACAGCAGCAATATGGGGGCAACTTCAATTCGGGTCCGCCTCCGGGTGCAGGTCAGTATGGTGGGAACCATCAATACCAGAATGCTGGTGGGCCCGGAAGTGGACCATCCCCGCAACCGCCGCCGCAGGCAGGCGGATCAAATAAGACAGGTTCGTCTGCCACCGGCTCTGAAAGCAAACCTCAAAGTGGAGCTGATTGGGAGAAGGCCCGTGAAGAGACCCGGCGCAAGGAGGAGCTGCGCCGCAAGATGGAGGAGTTTAAGCGGAAGCGGGAGGCCGAGCAGCGCGAGAAGCAGCAGAAGCGCGAGCGCGAGGCCATGGAGCGGGAGCTGCGTGAGCGCAGGGAGCAGCTCGAGAAGGAGATGGCTGCCGCCAAGGAGGCGGCCGCCCGCGAGGCCCGAGAACGGGCGGAGCGCGAAGCAGCTGAGGCCAAAGCCAAAGCGGAGCGAGAGGCCGCGGAAGCTCGAGCCAAGGCGGAACGAGAAGCAGCGGAAGCGCGTGCCAAGGCGGAGCGTGAGGCCGCGGAGGCCAAGGCGAAAGCGGAGAAGGAGGCTCGAGAGGCCCGCGAGCGAGAAGCACGTCGGGCAAAGGAAGCCCGAGAACGAGAGGCGCGACGCGCCGCCGAAGCCAAGGCCCGTGCTGAGCGCGAGGCCGCAGAGGCCAAGGCCAAAGCAGAGCGTGAGGCTGCTGAGGCAAAGGCCAAGGCGGAGAAAGAGGAGGAAGAGCGTAAAGCTGCAGCTAAGAAGGAAGCTGATGCCAAGTTTGCGGCACTCAAAGAGGCTGCCGCGAAGAAGTATGCTGAGAAGAAAGCCAAAGATGCGCAGGAGGCGGCGGCCAAAGAGGCCGCCAGCCAAAAGGCGTCTAGCACGTCCACTCCCCGCACACCATCACCCAAGAAGCCTGCTTATTCCCGCACCGACACTGACAGCTCATATTCCAACTTTCGACCGACTGACCGTCCTCGCCGGCCGTACGGCGGTGCCACCTCGGGGTCATCAGTGTACTCGGACTCTTCATATGCGCCGTCACAGACAACAGCACGAACGACCCCGCCGCCGTCAAATCGCGGGGCCTATGAGACCAAAGACCCTGATAAGATTGTTATCAAGGGTGTGTTCGAGTTCAACAACAACTTTGTGCGCACTCCTGTGGCGCAGCTCGTCTCAGGCCAGGGCATGGTCAGCGATGGACTGGTTCTAAGGATCACGACAGAGGGACTCTTCATCGACGACGATGTACGCGGCGTTGGCCAACGCGAATGGGACGTCAAGGCGTGGACGATGAACCTCGTCGAGGTATGGTGTCCGAAATTCGGGGCGCAGCGTCAACCACCGAAGCCCCCGCCGGGGCCATTCAATCGGCGGGGCAACGAACCGACCCCAGAGGAATCGGAAGCATTCCTGGGCAACCTGCTGAAAATGTGCAAGAACACGTGCCGATTATCGACCGGGGGAGGAGATGATCAGCGCACGCTGCATGTGTTGCGGGCGTCGGTGCGCGACCACGAGGGCAAACGGTATGTGTTTGTGTTGCAGGAGACGGAGGGATGGAAGGTGGCGATTGGGCTGCAGCGGTTGCGACGGGGGACGTTGTCGCGGGCATTGGGGGTGATGGGGTTGGGAGTGAATGAGAGTCGGATGATATTATCAGGATTAGGATATGAGTGATGATACCTTGTATATACCAGTACACATAATGAGCTTTCACCAGTACAGCAGTATGCCAGTATGCCAGTATGCCAGTATGCCAGTATGCCAGTATGCCAGTATGCCAATGTAATATAGTAGTGTTAGCCCTAAGCCAGATATCTATCCAAACATGTATACACATACCATGCATACACACCATAGACAGATAAAAACCACAGATAACCAAAATTAGAATCCATCATCACCAACCCCGCAGTCAATAATCAAGGCATGATGGAAAACCCCTTACAACCTTCCCAGGGTCATGACGTCGGAACCAAACAATACTCTCCCCGCGTAACCCCAACCTGACCCAACTCAACCCATCCTGACATAACCATCGCAACACCACCACCAGCACCATTCCCATTATTATAACAATTTACTACAGCAACTACAAACAATCGAACAAAACAATGAAATGATACCCGAGAAAGAAAAAGAATGTCCCTCTGGACAATCAGCCTCGTCACACAGATCCTGTGTCTGGCGCTGGTAACGGGGTTTGTAGCGCTACGGGGGGTTGTAGCGTGGAGATTTAAGAAGGGGGTTGATGTTGAGGATGGTACCATCCCTGCCCCCTACTTTTTGTCTTTGTATAAATGAATGTGTTGGCTAATGGTCTTGATAGGGTTTTGTTTTGTATCGTTGGTATATACACTACCCTACCCATATCCATACTGAGTACGGAGTACGGAGTATAGAAGAGACTAATGGAAAAGGGTAGATATTCTTCGACGCATACTGCATATTAGTTCTATTTTGTATGTCCCACCCCCTTCTCCCTACATACATACTAAGTATATATATATCTAACAAAGAAGATAGACATCTTCAACAACGGCACCCAACCCCCCTCCACCTTCACTCCATCCCAAACAACCATCGTGTACAAGGTACAACAACCTATCCCCATATACACTCCCCTACAATACATCCATCCATCCACATCTACCATACCTCTCTTCATGACATACAGCCTTCCTAACCTCAAGAGATGAAACAATAGTTATTCTACACATTAACAATAATCTACGTCCCCATGGCCCTCCTCGCCAAACTCACCCTCCTCACCATCCTCGCCCGCCTCTTCATCGTCCGCCGATCCCAAACCCTAACCGTATACCTCACCATAACCCTCACAACAATCTACTACATCACGATCTTCTTCATCAAGATCTTCATCTGCAACCCGGTTTCCACATTCTGGACATCGCCCAATAACCCACATAACCCTAATTGTCTCTCAGAGGGGGCGGTGTTTCTCGCTGATGCGATCATGAGTGTCATTACGGATTTGGCTATCCTGCTACTCCCCATCGGGTTGATGTTCCCGCTACGACTGGGCGTGGTGAAGAAGGTGAAGGTGGGGGCTATGTTGGGATGTGGTGGGTTGGCTGTGGGGTTTAGTATTTATAGGGTTGTGCTGGTGGTGGGCGTTGGGGCTGCGGGGTTGGGGGATAGTCAGGTTTATGCGAGGATACTTTTGTCTGGGTATGTTTTCACTGAGGGTGGTTGAAAGGGGGTTTGGTGTGGTTGTGTGGTGTGCTTGCTAACTAGTTGGTTTTGGGGGTAGGAACGCGGAAGGAGGTTTCGGGCTCATCTGCAGCTGTATCCCTGCGCTGCATATCCTCGTGTCGAGGGTGAAGGCGAAGATGAGGAAGGGGTCGAGGAGTACGACCACAGGGAAAGGGTCTTCTGCTATTGCGTCTGGGGATGGGAGCGGAAGTAGAAGTGGTGGGAAGAAGAGGGATAGGGGTGTTTCGAGTAGTGGGGGCACTGCGGCGCCGATTGTAATTACCAGTTCGCCGGAGGATGTGCTTCATGATCCTGGGGGGTTGCTTGCTTCGTGTGATGATGATGATGGTGATGATGTGTATGATCAGAATGAAGAAGGGGAGGGACGGGGTGAGAAGAATGACAGCAGGGATGATAGGGAGGAAGGATAGGTGTAAATACAGTTTCACTACTTAAAATCTACTCAGAAATCACTCAGTACAGCATTAGGATCATACATTCATCCTATCCCAACTCATCAGTCATCCCAGGTATATAACGCCTCTGGCATCCGCCAGCATACTATCAATCAATAATCAATAAGACACTCCGTCCACAACGGATGAAGGAAAAAACCAAAGGAAAATAAAAAAAAACCAGTCTATCGCCCAGTCTGTCATGCGGGTGGGAATCAGAGGAAGCAAATCGAACAATCAACAGGAACAGCAGCAACTTTTAGCATGCACGCTGTCTAAAAGGGAAATCCGCCGGGGAATCCTCCGCGCTGTCCTCCTGCGTGCGCAAAGCCGCCGCCACCGCCGTTCATCATGTTGAACAGCACGCTGGGATCGATGTTGATATGGGTTCCTCCCATACCACCCATGCCTCCCATTCCTCCCATACCGCCCATTCCGCCCATGCCTCCCATGCCGCCGAAGCCGCCGTGCGAGAACATGTCAGCGGGGTCCATGAGGTCGTCGCCGTTGTCGTAGGCAGCACGTTTCCTATGCTGGTTAGCAAATGCCAAACACCACATTTAGCGATGAACTTACTGAGGATCACTCAAAGTCTCGTACGCCTCACCAATCTCCTTAAACTTCTCGTCACCAGCATCGCCGTCCCGGTTCTTGTCCGGGTGGTACTGGATGGCCATCTTGCGGTACGCCTTCTTGATCTCTTGTTCGCCCGCGTCCTTGGACACTCCGAGGATCTTGTAGTAATCCTTGCGCTGCGCCTTCTTCAGCTCAAACTCGGCCTTTCGGATCTCCTCTTGGATGCCCTTCTCGGTCGGGTTCGACTCTGCCACCGCCTTGTAGTCGCGCACAGCTTCTTCCCAGTTGCCGGCACCGCCGTGCGCCTTGGCGCGCATCTTCTGCGCCTTGAGGTACCCGGGGTCCAGCCGCAGGGCCTCGTTGCAGTCCGCCACTGCGTTGTCGTACTCCTTCAGGTTGATGTAGGCCTGCGCCCGGTTCTGCAGAATCTTGGCGTTCTGGTCCTTGTTCTTCGGGTCGACGGTCAGCGCCTCACCCCACAGGTCGATGGCGCGACGGTAGTCCCTGGCCTTGAAGGCTGTGTTACCCTCTTCCTTGGTGCGCACCAGCTTCTGCACGGTACGCAGCAGCTTGATCGCCGCCTTCATATCCGGATCCAGACCCAGGCACATCTTCAGCAGCTTCAGCGCCTGGTCCGTGTCACCCATACCATAGAAAGCCCGGGCGCGGATCATCAGCGCATCAGGGTCCTGGCTGTTCACCCGGAGCATGCTAATAGCAATGTCCTGTGCCTTGCCGTACGAGTTGTCATTGCCCATCTTCAACTGGGCCTCTGCAGTCATCAGTGTCCACTTGCGGGGCTCCTTGACACCTTGTCCGAGGAGCTGGCGGGCCTGGTCGAGGCAGAACAGCACCATCGAGACACCACGGTCCTGCGAGAGAGCCTCCTCCGCCTGGCTGACAAAGCGGAGCATCTTCTCTGCGGCCGCACGGTCAGTAGCGGAGGCCGGGGGCTCAATCCGAGACAGCACGTCAAGGGCATCCGTCGGACGGCCCAAAGCGGTCAGGATACGGGCCAAGCGGTACATGATCTTAGTGTTGGTGGGGTCGAGCTCGCGGGCCCGTTCGCAGTCCTCCAGAGCAGCCAGGTATTGGTTGGCCGCCATGTATGCTGCAGCCCGGTTGGACAGGTAGACGGACGAGTTGGGGCTAATCTCGAGAGCTGTACCATCGTTACTAAACTGCCACCAGAATCTGCCTGAAGTCAGGTATTAACCTACCCTTGTTGAATTCCTCAATGGCGCGGCCATAGTTGCCATCCTTGAAGAATTTGTTTCCAGCCAGCTTGAAGGAGTCCGCCTCAGCGGTGTTCCCATTGGACCGGTGAGGGGGCGGGGTCGGGCTCTTCTCCGTGTGAGTGCCATTCACACCGTTGGTGGCAGAAGGGGAACCGAGGCGGGGATCGTTGGTGTCGACGTCCATCGAGCTTCGCATATCATCGCGAGCGGCAGCCATAGCGGAAAGACGACGTAGTTCGTCGGGATGAAGGTTGAGCGGGTGAAAGTTAGGGTCGTGCGAGTACCGATGATGAACGGCAGACAGCGACGACGCGGACCGGGGGACGGACGAGGGTTTCGACCGGACCGAGGCTGATTTGGAGGGAGTGGAGGTGGAACGACTGTGCGCCGGACGAGTAGGTTTTCGAGGAATGGAAGGACGTTGAGTCGGAGTAGGAAACGACTGCGGATGGTGTAGCGGAGGCGTAGGAGGAGGATGGGGGTGGCGAGAGGGAGCCGAATGAACGGTCTTTGCCCGGTGAGGAGGGGGCGGAGGTCGAGTCGGGAATGAGTCGTCGGTCTTGACTCTTGCGGATGGACGTGGGGGAGGAGGGGAACTCGCTGAAAATGAAGAAGAATAAGGAGGAGGGGGGAGAGGAGAGGAAGACGGAGGGGGAGAATAAGCAGGAATCGAGCGAGTGGGAGGAGTAGGAGGAACAGGAGCAGAAGCAGTCGTTGTCGGAGTAGATTTAGACTTGGAAGAAGAGGATTTGGAGGAAGAAGATTTGTGACGAGAGAAAAGATGCGGGAGCCCCATCGCCGCTGGGCTGACTGTGATTGGTGGCGCCGATCGAAGGGCAGCGAAGGCGGTGGAATTTGTTTCTCTGCTTTCTTCTTTCTTTCTCTCTCTGTCTCTCTCTCTCTCTTCAGATCCCGCTGGTGTTATCCCTCACTTGACGCGGTTCTGCACCTGGTTAATTTATCAATTATTATTAGTCGTGTCGGTGGACAGTCAGTGTTAATCTATCACTGTTTCTGTCACTCTCTTTCTTTTTTTCGGTCCTGTCGTAATCCCGATTTTTTATCACTGCTCGTATCGGTCTTAAATCCGTCTCAAGCACTCATCATGATCGGTCGTATCTGTTCAGTTGCAGCTTCGGAAAAGATTGCCAGCGCGGAGTAGTATCAATCAACTTTTAATGTCACTTCACTGCTCGCGGAATAAAACACAAGCAAAGCACAGCACAGCACAGCAAATGTCACAAACACTCAAGTCAAGTCAAAAGTCAATACTCAACAAAACATAGATGAATGAAGTGATGTGAAAAAAAGTTCAACGGCGCTGGCCTCCATCTGTCACGCTGCTACTAATATTAATAGTCTCCATCCAGACGGCCCTCCCAGTCGCTCGAAAATTCGGAGGCTGGGTCACCGACCATCACTGGCTAGCGTCTTGCCTTCGTCATGCGAGTTGCCAACAGCAACACTACGCGCTGCCAATGATTCCCCTCCATCCTACGCCTCTAGCCTGTCATGGCGGTCGCAGTTTGACAAGCTTTTTCTCTTTTTACTATGTGGCCTAGACTATCTTGACACTGCGGTTGGCTTATCGCTCCGTCACACCTCTCTCTACCCAAGCTGGGGCCACCCGCATGTTGGTGCGTCCAGTCCACGTTTACCCTAACTGCAGACGTGTAACATGGCTTTCCTTCTCGCTGCCTCTCTGTTCTTCTCCTGCTCTCCCGCCTTCCATCTGCATCGATCCTGCCTCCCCACAGTGCTCCACTTTCTTAGGCACGGCTGCTATCCCCTGTTACGAAGAACGAACTCCTCCCAAAAGGTGGCCCAGCTGTAACTTTGCCTCAGCTCTCTGGATGATCTGCTCGACCTCGCTCTTAATCCGCACTTGCTCTTCCGAACACATGCGGATTTGTGGCACGATCAGCGCTCCATGATAATCCCGTGATATTTTCCGTAGTCGAGACTGGATTATCCGATCCACTTCGGCTTCCTGACTGTCCAGAAGCTCCATAAGTTCATGCTTCGCATGATCCGTACTGCCTCGAAGAACGTCGTCGGCGTGATCGTCTGCCACTTGTTGCATCAATGCCCTGCTGCGCTTCAAGCTTCCTGCTCCTATCGTAATGATCATGTTAGAATACTTCTCGACTAGCTGCTAGAAGTCCTACCCGTCTCGGAGGCACACGCCCGGTAGGTCTTTTCAAGTCGCTCGGCGATCGCCTCTGCAAAGGCTCGACTGATGCGCTTCTGTTCCAGCGTGGTCGACTTCCCTAGCTCTAAGAATCGCTGACGCATAGACTGCTGGCATGCGACGAGGTTGCCTTGCAATCTCTTCTTAGTCTCATCGGAGACATCTTGCTGGACGGAATCAATGGCCTCTCTGTGGAATTTCCCCAGCACGACTTCCAATTCATCCGTCAAAGTAAGCATCGCATGCGGTAGTAGTTCCGTAAAAGTCCTGTTCATGTTAGGTTCGTCCAGAATTTTTCATATTGTGAACGCACCTCCTCCAAGCAGCAGCGATTTTGTCAAACAACGGTCGGGCTCTGTACGCGATTAGACCTATCTTTAGCATCGTTGTAAAAGCTTCCACTTACAGGTCGCGATTCCAGTCCTGATCGACTGTCAGCTCCGTGTATTGATTCCACTTCGAGATACTTACAGTAGTACGATATACTCCTCGCCGGCGACAGATGGCCTTGTAGGTCATCCATCGAAATCCCTCATTCCAGCGCGAAACAGCTTCGGGAAACTGGAGGATTACATGACGCGATGCTCCGCCTGTGCCATTAGCTGTATCCAATATCATGTTCAGAAGACATACTGAGCTTGCTCAGGATATTCTGGTGGAATATGTTCCTGACATTACGGTTGAATCGATTCTTATGCGCTTTCATATCCTAAAGGGTCAGTATCGGTCCAACAAGTACAGCCGAGAGGCATACTTCGTCTAGGGCATCCAGAGCACATTCCAAACCGGCCTTGAGTTCCTTCACTCTTTGTTCGGATACATTTGCGGCCGATCTCGCAGAATACCAAAGTGTCATCGACTGAAAGAGCTCGTTCAACTGAGTAAGAAACCTTCGGGACGACTCTTCTCTGGCGTTCTCGGTGAGCTTTACACAATGCTGCTGCAGGAACGGAATTTCGGTCTCCTCCAGTTGCGAGAAGCCACCAACGACCTTTGCCAAATCAGAGCGTCCCCGAAGACTTTGGTACGCTCTGGTCGACACGCAAAAAACAGGTAGGTTTCTCTCCAGCTCGTCATAATCGCCAATTGGGGCCTGTGTCGGGTTTTCGGCGTCGTCTGCAAATTCCTGGTCCAGACTTTGAATCTCCAAGGCAAAGCCCCGCTTGATTTGGCATTTTGAAAACTTGTTCCTCGCCTCTATGCAGGAGCTCAGAACAATGTGTTCCATATCTTTCTTTCCATCTTCAAGCTTCTGCAGCTCCACCTCTTTGTCCTCCATTTGTTTGTTGATATGCTTTCGCTGAGACCGTAGGGATCTGCGCTCAACCTTGCGCTCCAAGAATTGGTGCTTAAGCTTGTCCACCTCCGAAAGCTCCGCGGTATTTGTCTCGTAGACTGCTGACGTCTCAGAGGGCTCATGTCCGTGAGGCTTCTTTCGTTTTGGGGTGATCTCCAATATTTCACAGCCGAACTCATCGTTGAGACGTTCTTCAAGCTCTTCAATCTCGGTCTCTATCCAATCGAGCTGCGTGGAGATTTGTTTCTTGGATTCCTTCAAAGAGTCGATTTCGTTCTTCATTGATTCAACCCTGGCTGGCAGCTGTTGAACCTCATTGAATGCTGGCAAATCGAGACCCAGAGACTGGATGACTTCAGTCGGGTCAATATCATCGGTCTTTGTGCAAATAAAGGTCATGTCATTAAAAGCACAATCCATCTGCATTTGTGACTTATAGTTCTTCCCAAGCAGGTCACGGGCGACTTTATCATCAACAGCCCGATTTATGGGCGCCACAATCCAGTGGGCCGAACATCGTCTCATGTAGTCTTCGGCAACGGCAACTCGTGCTGCATTCGAGTCAAATATACCAGGAAGGTCCACCAAGACCGCACCAGTCGCCAACGCTGGTGCTTTGAGGTAAATCCGCACCACACGCACAAGGGGCCAAAGTCCAATACCATAATTAGCTGTGTCCGTATCGCTGGCGGAGTCTGGATGTTCAGCAGCATTTTGATCTCTAGCAGACTTCATCGATCGCCCACGTTTGCCTTTACTGTCAGTGTATGACTTCAATTTCGTAGAGAAGGCTCCTGGGTGGTTCCCTTCAAAGGCCTTCGTGGTTCCCAGAAGATCAGTAACCCTCCTATTTGCCATCAGATCGGCTGCTGAGGTGTTCAAGATATTATCTGCAGTCATCATAGGGTAGACCGCCTGGATCTTGTCCAGGGCCACCGCTGCATCGGAATTCTTGAGCATAGCACCTCGAGTCACTTCCTCTTGATTGTCTCGGAGCTCCTCGAATAATACTTCCAATTCGCGTTCCCACTCGCTATGCTTGATGAACTCGACTTCGGCTCTGTACTTCGTGCTTCCGTAATTGTAGGAGATTTCTGTTGCAACAGCGGTAGAGGCACGCATGCAGTCTGTCGACAAGACATTCTTTTCATCAAGGACCGCATTGATGAGTGATGATTTTCCGGCCCCAGTGCTTCCAACCACTCCGATGATCACCTTTTCCGTGCACGCATATTTCTTGATCCGCTCGATCTCAGCTTTCCAGTCTGTTTCGGTGCCAAAAGCAGCAGAGCCTTCACAAACCGCATAGAGCTCCTTCAACACGTCGGCACCGTTAGCCACGGCATTTTCCAAAGCAATAATCTCTTCGTTCTCAGCATCCTTGATTCCGCACGCCAAAGACTCCTCAGCCGGGTCCGCCATAGGGACATCCTCGTCTGAAGAATCAGCTTCCCTTTCTGATTCTGGTTTCTGTTCCTCCTGATCAACCAACATAGAATCAGGAACGACATGGTCATCATCACCATCTCCCTTAGACACTGTGAAAGTCAACTTCCCTTCGATACTGTCAATAAAGGCCTTAAATTCGGCAACTAAATCCCGTCAGTCAACATGCAACCGAAACCAGACAAAATGCATACTCACGATCAAGACAAGAGAATTCTTGAACCACTCTCTGATCATTACGCGCATAATAGTCCTCATAGAGTGTTTTCAGGGAACCGTTGTCATCTGGGTATACCCAATCCCATCCTTTTGATATAACATACTCGGCACAGTCAGTGTACACCCTCCGCCAATCAGGCGTAACACAAGACCAGATCGCGTTGAAGTTGGGACATGGAGGTCCTTCGCGTATGGTAGTTAGTTTCCAGTTACTGAAGAAGTAGAAAGGAACACTCACCATTCACCTTCCCCTCCCAGTACCGCTCATGCTTCGCAGTCTGCTCGGCCACGAAATGCAGCTGAGCAAGTGAGAGAATGCTCGCTTCCGATCTCGGTCTCGCAACGTCCTCCATTGTTAACCCAGTCCTGTGCCCTCACGACGAAACCTCAATGAAGTACTGCAACACAGCATACAAGAAGCAGCAGAGAATGAAGACGGCGATTGCCATCAAGGAAATGTAGATGATCCAGTAGCCGAGGAGAACGAGGGAGCGGAACGCGAAGGTCAAGATCATAAACATAGTTAGTTGAGGGGGAGACGCGGAGCTGTGGAGTGAATTGAGCGTGTCTTGCGAGCATATTTTGTTTGTTGATTTATGATCATTCACTGCGTCTCTGAGCAGCAGAGTTGTGCTTGTTTTTGTCTTGGGGGTGGCCATGGTGATCGGGTGTGGGGGTAGGAAGGGGAGATGAGGTGGTGGTGGTGATGGGGATTGGAAGTGCGGGATTATAGTGGTATGGTTTAGTTTGTAAAGTATCACATGATGGGATGGGTGAGTGACTGAAGAGAGTGTGAGAACGAGGTGAGATGAAATGAAATGGAAAGTACGAGGTAAGAAATGAGAAGAGAGGGAAAGGAGTAAGTGATCTATGACAGATTGGGTATCTCGAGCGAAGTAGAACAACTACCTAGTAAGCAGATAAAGAAGAGCGAATGAGATGATGTACAGGATGAAAGGCATCAAGGAACAGACAATCTAATAGTAATACACATGCACCCCCTAAAACACCCGGCTATGCTTGATAATTGTGGACGCCACTATACTAGAACAAGGATTATGTTAAATTAGGATAGCCGGCCAGCAGCTGATAATATCCGTTCCAATCCATCTCTACAACTCCGCCTCTTTCCTAACACACTAAACGGGCACCCTCACCTCGACACAGCCCGGTTGGCCCTCCTCCTCGCAACCGCCGTCCACCGAGATCCGCTCCAGCCTTCGTCTTCGTCGTCATCCGTAGGTAGTGGAGGCAAGGGCCGATCAAGGATGTGCCGCCCATATGGCGGGGGTACATCTCTCCTCTGTGCTAAAGCAGCAAGATGGACTTGGCCATGAAACGAAGAAGGGCGGTAAGGCGCATAGTGAGCATCAGGGGTGGGTCTGGTGATCACGGCGTAGTCGGGGCTGAGGTGTGGTGAGGGGCATGAGGAAGGTTTCAAGAACCACAGCTTCTCGTGCTCGAGCCAGACGAGACGGTTACCTTCGGTGGTAATGGTGGTGGTCACGGCATGAGTGGTGACTGTGGTTGTGGTGGTTGTGCTCAGCAGAGGGCTGGGCGATTGGTGAGGGGTAAGGTCTGAAACACTTCGAGTTCGGGAGCTCCACGGGTGAAGGGAGAAGGAGGAAGAAGGAGGGGGAGGAGGTAGGTTTAGTGTTGGTTGTGGCCTTGATTGTTGTTGGTACTCATGCTCGTCGGCTGTGACCGGGGGCTGTGGACTGTGGCAGCGTTGGTAGAAACTGAGATCGGCTTCCGGCTCATGGTGGTGGTTATACAGCGCAAATGAGTACTCTGATTCAGACACGGGACTGAAGATCGCGTCCGTCGAGCTTGGTCGTGGAGGGAGGTCATGAGGTGTTAATGGGCTGATCGGGCTGACTGGAGTGGACGTGTCCAGACGAATACTAGGGACATTTGCTCGTCGCGGGGAGACAGTGAACCGAGTGTCGGCGATAGGCGGGCCTTCTAAGGATGACAGGTCCATTGTGAAGATGTGAAAGACGGTATAAAGAGAAGGTAGATAAAAGTGGATGTAGGCCAAGCAATTGTACGCAAATGTCACAGAAAGATCATTGCACGCGACCAATGTACCGATGAAGGAATTAAAGTCGGTGTGGAAAAGTATGATCGTCAAGACTCGAGTGAAATATACTTGGGGGGTCCAAAAGGGAAGAGCACAGTTCATATATCAGACAGTTGTTGATACTTGAGGCAGTGCTGGAACAATGTCCCCTGTGGGAAAAGGGTGGTGTTGTCTTCTGTCTGCACGGCTATGGCCAATTTCTTTGACGGGCACAGCAACAAAGACACAATAATACGAGCCAACAACACCCATGACAGTCAGGAAATCGCCTTGCGCCTCACAGTGGATTCCTCCTCGTAGTTCGTTCCAACCTCCTAATAGTGGACTGCAGCTGCGGAAAGGGCGCAAGCCCTGTTGGCAAAGCTTTCGGCTTGACCGGCTGATGTTCGCCTTGGTTCAGGAGCGAACAAGGAAACCAATCCGTCGGCTCACGTTAAACCCCGCCGTAGAAGGATCTCCCGGTGCTCGATAGTTTCTTTTCTGCCCTTCGGGATGGGCCCGGAACTGGGGCAGAAGAAGGATTTGGGGTCCGAGACTGGATGTGCTGTCATCGTAACCATGAAGCTGTAGTTTCATCGTGGAGGCGATCATAAGCGCAGATAGAAGCCCCTATGAATTTAGACGCCATCTGGAGAGATTCCATGGGTCTGAGCGATATAGCATGTCCTCAAGTGGAGGCTGCGCGATAATGGGGGCATTTGGTTCGTTGGTTGAAGGATTCCGAATGAGGTTGGAAAATCAACACTGCCACATCCTTTGTCGTCCGAGCTTTGGATGAGTCCAATTCAGAGGGGAAAAGTATTTTGCGTAGCACTGGATGCTGCTTCCATCCCTAATCTATATTGCATTGCATTATTCACCGCGATGGCCATGTGGTAGCCTTAGTCGAGTCAAACACAGCGAGGATGTTGCCGTTGTCAACCAAGTAAATAGCACGTGTTGTTTGTTGGTGGCCCCGGGGCTAAAGGAGAATAGCGTCAAACCCGACCTCCAGATCACGGATCTCCCAAACCCCCAAACACAGCCACACACATACACGATCGTGAAATACTTACTTACTACACATTGACAGCGTCTACAAATCGACGATCGTCAATCCCTTCCAGAATCGCCCGGCAAAACCCCCCTAAAGAAGTAATCAATATGGCACAAATAGGGCTGAGGGCGACACTCGGATTTTAAGCCAGAGAATATCTGAAACAGCCACCCAATCAATCGCCCGCACTGGCGAGACCAATGTGATACACACCAGTGGGCGCAGACCAGCAACGAGACGAACCGCAAAATTCGGATAGCAGCCGGTCACCGATAAATGAAAGAGATAGAAAAAAAATTAATTCGAGATCTTGAAACATTTACGCTGTAGCCCCCAAGATCGAGCGGCCTCCCCGGATTCAGCCCTCCATTCAGCCTCCTGCTTAGTACTTGTTTGCTGAGTTCCTTCCAACTTGCCCCATGTCATCACGGCAATTACTTAGGTGATGGGTAGATCCATCCATTGAGATCCGGGCCGGCCCCTATTGTCGGACATGTCCGATCGTCTGGCAGTTCTACAGCAGGTGTATGGCGTGGTGATCTGGACCAGATGGAAATGATAGCTCTAGCACGGCGTTGATTGAATCTAAAAACTGCTTCGAATTGGGTATGTGAAAGCTTCATGGGTTACATTAATCGTATCCAGCCACCAATTGCTTCACAACAGAACTCCGAAGCAATCCGGGAAGCGTAAATATCTAGAAGGGAATTTCGAATAAAAGTGGTATAAGAGAGGATATAAAAGCAACGAATCGGATTTCTCTCCCAAAGCAAAACCGCAACTAAGTATGAACCAATCCCCGACACTCTTCACCAATTCACATGCGCCCAAGATCCCCGCCTATAGCGGCAACCGGACTCACGAGTGACCCGGGGCTACTATAAACAAGAAGGGGAATCTAAGCCAAGAAGAAAGCGGCGGCAGCGGCGGCACCAGCGAAAGCAAAGCCGTTGCCGTTGACGGAGCTGGCAGCACCGGTGTAGAGAGCAGAAGAGGGGGAGGGGCTGTGCGTATTGTTAGTATGATTGGTTACTTTTGAGAAAGGGTGTCAGGATACTCACGTAGCACTGCCGCTAGGGTAGCCAGAGCCGTAGGCACCAGCACCGCTAGGGATGACAGGGGAGGAAGACTTGGCGGGCTTGCCGCTGGGGTAGCCAGAGCCGTAGGCACCGGCACCGGAGCCACCACCGATGGTGCTAGTGGACATGATGACTGTGGGAACGCAGGTGGTCACGGGGATAACGGTGACCTGGGGAGCAGCAGTGGTGCCAGCGCCACCACCGACGGCAGCAGCACCGGAGGGAACAGCGCTGGGGGCAACACCGGAGGCAGCACCACCGGAGGGAACAACACCAGCACCAGCACCACCAGCAGGGGAGCTGCCAGCAGCGGGGGTGGCGGAGGGAGCCTCAGGGACAGCGCTGGTGACACCAACGGGGGAGACACCCTCAGCACCGCCAGTGGTGGCAGCAGCGACGGCCTCGGGGGTGGAGGTGGCGTGCAGGGTACCGGGGCAGTTGGTGACGGTGGGAGCGCAGGAGACGACGGTCACGTCCTCAGTGGAGTAGACAGTCTCGACATCCTGGGGGATGGCAGCAACAAGGCTGGCGAAGAGAGCGACGGTGGCAGCAGAGAAACGCATCTTGAATTGTTGTGGTTGGTAAAAAATAAAACCGTCAAGGTCGATAAATTTGATTTTATGTGTGGGTTGTTTGATATGTGAAACACAGGGAGAGCTGCGTTTAGATAAAGAGAGTGTGGCTAGTTGGGGTTTTGCGTTGGGGTTTGGTTTAAAAGAGTGGCTGACCGAAGTCAATGGGATGCTTCAAGCAGGCAAAGAAGACTGGTCTTGAAAGAGAAAGAACAGAGAGAACCAGGAACGAGCTGAGAGGGAGAGGGGGGAACCGGGGGGCCTTTGTATGAGCCGGGAGATTAACCTGGAGATCGTCTCAGGGACGAAAAGGGGAGAGCGCAACTGCACGCGGGTGGAGTTGATGGCCCCCGAGTCAATCAGAGGGCCGATGCGGTGTGTGAGAGTGAGAGGGTGAGGAGCAACTTTCCATAGGTAAGTTTGGGGCAATCCCGCGAATTGGCCCCCCTCTCACTTTCCTCTCTTCTTTAGTTCTCTGGCTCCATTTTTCGTTTCGCGCCTCGTGGGTTCTGCGCCCGTCTCATCCACGTCTCTTGGTTGGTCCAACCAGCCCCTTCGCCTGTCTGACTAGACCAACTAGTGC